GACCTTGTTAAGGTCAGTTTCCCGATATACAGAGTGATGCTATGCTAGTGACCGGTTAGGTCGGTAACCCGGTTAGGGTAATGATATGCTATGTGATCTGCTTGCTCGGTTTGTTGACTATGACTGTTATATGATGTATGTTTTGTGCACATGGTTGTTTGGACTGGAGATGGGTTGAGGCGGGTCCTGCTTTGTGCTGTAGGCCAAGATACCCAGGGCGGACCGGTTGTTCCGAAGGCCCAGCGAGCGGTCCGGATAGGCTGTAGGCCCCACGAGGGCGGACCAGACGTGCGAGGCTCGGAGAGTGGACCAGGCCGACTGAAGGCCCGATGCGGGCGGACCAGTCACACTGTAGACTCAGAGAGTGGACCAGGTGGGTTGAAGGCCCGATGCGGGGACCAACCCCACTGTAGACTCGAAGGACATGACTAGACCTGGAGGATGGATCCGATGGACTGAAGGCCGATACGGCGGACCAGTTACACAGTAGACCCGATATGCATGGCTGTTCTATGTTCTGTTATGTTATGTATGTTTTATATGTTTTGGACCGGAAGGTCGCAGCCTGGAAGGGCGTATACATGGTTGGTATTTTGGGGGTATCTCACTAAGCTTTCGGGCTTACAGTTATGGTTTAATGTTTTTCAGGTTCTTCAGGAGACTGTAGCAAGGTGAAGGCGCGATCGTACCGCTCCACATTTGTAGCAATGTGATTCTGGGAATACTCTAATGATTTGTGTTGAAAACCTTTTTGTAAACATTTTAATGAAAATTGGGTTGTTTTGAAAAATTTAAATTGGTTGTATTTTTCGGACGTTACATTTAGTGAGAGGTTTGTATGTCAATATGTTAGACAATTTTAATCATTTTAATAAAATATAAGACATCTAATCATTTGTTGATATGTAATATAAACTTTAGAAAGAATCTGAATAAAATGAAGGTTTTATATAATTAACAATTGGGAAAATGACACAAACACCATACGAACTTTCGGTTTATCTGTTGAGTTCCTTAAGTTTTTGTCGGGCTTTATGGGTCCCCAAACTCGGATATGACATGCTCTTTTAGGCTTCGTCAACCTGTAATAGCCGGTTCAATGACATTTTAGACCAAAAAACTCACATTATTCCCCTATAAAGCCAAAAAAATATAAGTTCGGGGATCAATTCATACAAAAAAAAACTATCCTTTTTTTTTTTTTTTTTTTTTCTAAAACTGATTCATACTCAATTTTTATTGATCCCCGAACTTATTTTTTTGGTTTTATCGGGGCACAATGTTAGTTTTTTTTTTTTGGTCTACATGGTCACTGAACTGGCTATTACAGGTTGATAAAGACTAAAATAGTAGATCATATCTTAGTTTAGGGACCCATAATGTCCAATAAAAACTTTAGGGACTCAATGAGTAAACCTTAAAAAGTTTGTAGCGTATTTGTGTCATTTTCCTTAACAGTTACACACTACAAAGTCTATGATTATATATTTTTAAAGAGAAATTAAATATCCTCTTATCTTTTCTTCTTATTTTTATTCCTACCTATTTAAAATGATGATAAGTTTATAAATTTAACAACCCAAATTGAATGACACTTGTTATCATCTTAAATAGATAGGAAAATAGTAGGAACAAAAAGTAGAAGATTATTTAATTTCTAATATTTGAATACACATTTCCCAATCTTAAAAAAACTTAAAATGTATTAAAAGATCTTATAAACAATATGTTCTTAATTCATTGATTGGAGTTGAAAATTTATATAATTTATTAGAATTTTTCAATTTAGGGATAATGTTCCTATTACCCAACCAATTATTGGTTTTGATCATATTTGATATTTTTTTTTTCTTTTGCATTTCAGTTGTCAGTTTACATGTCAAAAAGCAATTATTGGAATGGAGAAAGTAGCCGGGTAGCTAGAGACTACAGACTGGTTGTGGAGGTTAGGTTCATCGGTTTTCCCTGTCGCCGGTTTCAATCTCTTTTGGCCTCGTTTGACAATTTGTTCGTTCATGTCAAGATATCTTACGCCAAAACGTTTTATAACAAATCAAAATGGTTTAGTTGGAAAATTACTGGTCACCCAATATAACAAAACTAACTGTGAAACATGATATAAAAAGATTATTGGTGAACTTAATAAACATGTGAAAATTGTTATTTGGAAAAAAAGTATAAACTAATATTGTTTGATCCTAAAAAAAGATGAAATATTAGTAGTTAAAATACCCCTAAGTAGTAAATAAGGCTCATTTCTTGGATGACACATGAGCGTGTCACAAATTCTTGTGTCAAATTAAGCTTTCATCTCACAATATCTTTACGAGTGACAGGTGGTTATACTTTATTTTTCTTTCCTAAATGGTGTTGCTTTCCGAAGGTTATTGAACAGGCACCAAAAGGTGAATCTTTGCTAAAGAAAAGAAAAAGCTTTAGGACACGACAAGTCTTCTAAATATACTGTACTCTAAAGCTATTTATAAGTGAATAATGTTTTTATTGTTAATGTAATTGCTAAAGACTATATTCAGATTCAAATTAAGAATCTTTTTTAGTTACATATGAAAGTAGTGATATTATAGCTTGCACAATTAAAGAAATTCATAGTTACTTTACCTTTTAAACTCTTTCTCTGGAAAATTATTCATGGGATATCTTATGTAAATTAAGTTATAAAAGTAGGACAAATTGCATGAAAGACACTAAATGTATATAAAATTTTGATTTTGATGTTTTTTTTTTTTTTTTTTTTTTTTTTTTCAATTTAGTCATTCAGTTTACAATTATGTTGCAAATTTAACCAACCGACCGATTTGCTTTAAATTTAAATGTTTTATGTTTCTTACTTGCTGACTAAACAAAAAACTGATGTAAATTCTATATATGATTCTAGTTGACAAACATTTTAATTAAATTGAACCCTAACATAGATCTGTACGCACTTTCCCATATTTCTTCTTATTTTTCTTGTCTCAAAATATCAGAATCTGCAATGGTTTCCTAAAGTCGTTCAAGTGGTTTATCATCCCAAAATGGTGTAAGTAAGATAATGAATGTTCCTTTAGGTGATGTTAATGTGGGAAACCTTCTTTGTCTTTGCTTACACCACTTTGAGATGGTAAACCACTTGATCGACCTTTAAATCCATTGCACAAAGTTGTGATGCTTTGAGAGAAGAAAATAATAAGAAATAATGAAAAGTGAGTACAAATCTATGTAACGATTCAATATAACACACACGTTTGCTAATTAGGATCATATGTGGAAGCTATACCAGTTTTTTGCCTAATCAGCAAGTGAGTAACATGAAACATGAAGCAAACCGGTCAATTGGTTAATTTTCAAACAAAATTGTAAACTTAATGATTTAATTAAAAAAAAAACATAATATCAAAATCAAAATTTTATGTAACCTTAATGTTTTTTTTATACAATTTGCCCTAAAAATGTGCACAATATATTTATAATTGAATATTCACAAAATTTGCTACTCCATAGATATCTTTTTTTTACATGATCAGGGGTGTCTTTGAGAGCATGCGAGGTGGGAGACACACATGGTCCATATCGTCAAGGAGTCAGTTTTACATACGATTTAGTTTGTTGTCAAACAATTGGCATTCCGATAATCAATGACAAAAGCTCATGTTTTGTTTCAATTCCAATAGCTCATGCTAAAATATTACATACCCTGAACTTGATCAGTAAAAATTACAATCAAATGATATGTTTGTCGATGTTGCTATTAAAGAAGTAAATATGTTAATTGAGTTCTTCGATGAGTTTAGAAAATCAAGGTTATTTAAGGAAATTGATGATGCCAATGAAATTTCAATTGAAATGAATATTCATCTAGTGTGCCCTCAAAAGAGTCTCATTCATCAAGAAAAACAGTTTTATAATAATTCAAGTAATTAAGATGTCATACTTTAAGCCGATGAGAAATTTAAAGTTAAATATTTTTTATATATTGTTGATCAAACGATGACTTTTCTTATAAAAATATTCGAACAACTCGAAGCTAGAGTATGAATTTTTTTTTTCCAAAGAAGTTGAAGGAATTTGATGGCAAAGATCATAAGTTGTGTTGTAGCTGTTTGGAAGTCGCACTTAAATATGGTGAACGATCGGATATATATGTTAATGAACTTTATTTGGAGTTAAAATTGTTTGATGAGTTTTTATAGAGTGAAACTACCAATATCACCGATGTTTTAAATATATGAAAAAACTCAATTTTTTTTCCTAATATAGTTATTGTATATAGAGTTTTGTTGACTATTTCAGTATCAACGAATTTTTTTTGTTGATTATTTCAGTAATAATGATCTTTTACTATTAAAGAAAGAAGTTTCTTAAAACCAAAATTGTAAAAATCTTACTTATATACAACGTGAGCTAATTTCGTTGTACTTATTTTTTTAAAAAAAAATCACAGCACATTTCTCTATACAAAAAGATATATAAAATCAACTAAGTAACTCGTTATAGAGACTCCTACTAAAAATATCTGTGGATTCTTAAACACCAAGCAAAAGGAAAGCATAATAATTTAATCAAACTTTTAAAAAAGCTAATGTCATTTTCTTATTTACTATTGCCTGCAATAATTAAACTTCATTTATATCATTTTTATTAACTTTAGCCTTTTTGCTCCGATTCTAATGTATTTTTATAAAAGAACTAACCATGCATATAGGTTTTTTGTGCTATTAGATATCAAATAAATTAATAATGAAGTGTAAACTGTGAAAAAGTAGTTGTTCTTATTGTTTTTATGTGTAGACCTAGTTTTGACCAATAGTTATCAAATGTAGATAACTTTATAGAAACATATTTCCAAATATTATAATATATTTTATACCAATCTAGAGTAATCATAATACATTTTGTGGATGGTGGAAATAATTTAAAGCGACTTTATCCCTTTCCACTAACCTGGTTATATTTATTTATTATGTTAATGCATTTAATTCCTTGTCTATAAAACCCCCGCATAATATTTACATATTTTCCATCTTTATTGTTATTCAAGATTTTCCATTCTCCATTTGCTCATGCATCAATAGGTCTCTCTTTCTATATGCACACCATAAAATTTTGTAATTTGTTTTTAATTTTGTTTAAAGGTTGTTTGATATATCTTTTATTAGTTTGATAAGAGTTTTATACTCTACCCATGGATAGCATAATTAAAAGTCTTTTATTTGGTTTATTTGGTTCTACACGTATGCTATGCTTCTTATGGACATATAAGCGATTGAGTTTCACTCATTCAACAGCGAATATCATATCGTTTTGTTTTACAAAAAGACTGGTTTCAACATAGGAAGTCGGGACTTTCTAATTACAGTAATTGACCTTACTAGTTGTATAATTTACGTATTTTTTTTACTATATTAGGATTTGCATATAAATATGGCACCAACATCAACCCAATTTTCCACTTCGTCAAGAATGGGAACATATGATTCACTTCACCATGTTAGCATGTCGAACTGCATCTTCGAAGATCACATGAACACGAAGAAGAGCCATACCATCATCAGTCAACCCGAATCAACAAGACTAACCAACAATGTAGGAGAACATATATATTATTTTATGAATTTTCATCGTATGGATGATCATCTTTACCCTGTATTTACATTTTACAGATATAATTCTTTTTGTCATGTTCTTTAGATGGAGTACACTTCTCAAGAATCATTAGAATCTTATCGGGAGTCGGATAAGAATATTTCAGATAAGGTAACTATTTCATTTGATTATGTAATAATAAGTACTACATGTGTATATATATACATGGGATCTTATGATATTTAAAAATAATTCGCTGCTAGAGATGAGTTTTAATATGTTAAATATTAATGTATTTCAGTTTCAACGACGATTAGCACAAAACCGTGAAGCTGCACGAAAAAGTCGTTTAAAGAAAAAGGTATGGAAAAACATTTTGGTTTCAAGTGATTATAATTTGATATTTAATTAGCATGATCTTTTTGTCTCGTTTGTGTAGGCCTACGTTCGAGAATTGGAATCAGGGCGTCTAAAGTTGGAGAAACTGGAGCATGAAATCAAGAGGACTCGACAACAGGTTAAAGCGAATCCTATTACCCACAAACTTTGAGACACTAAAATTTGTCGCTAAAGCATGTTTCTGTCGCTATAGTGTCGCTAGAGTTTTATTCTCTAGACTTTGTGTGTAAACTTCTTGTTATTGTCTTGATTACAGGTTACGTATGTGGATCCACCAGGCTATGGTCAACTACCTGGTAATATTGTCAACTTGAGTGTATATGATTTCGTATTTTTTTCTACATGAATACTTTTGTACTCAACATTGCAAAATCTTTTGAAACGATTCTCATGTGTAGGTATTGCTACATTTGTGGCTAAGTATGATTTATGGGTTGTTGAGCAACATAAAAAGGAGAGTGAACTTATGAAGATCCTACAAACCGATGTAAGTGATGATGAGCTTAGGGTTGTATTAGATGGTGTTATAGATCACTACCAAGATCTTTTCTGGATGAAAGCTGATGCTGCAAAGGTCGATGCCTTTAATTTGTTATATGGGTCGTGGAGGTCTCCCATTGAGAGGTTGTTTGAATGGCTTGGTGGATTCCGACCCTCCGAGGTTCTATATGTAAGTCCTTAAATCATAGCCTCATCAATCAAATTTGTCCAACAAAAAACTAGTTACATACATACCACATTGGTTTATGTTTATGCAAATGTATATATGCCATGTAAATCATATATACAAGAATCTCCGAGGTGGTCTTAATGCCTACAAAGAACTCAATCCATATTGGAATTAAAACTCACAATCTTATGTTCTGATAATGATCTTTTGGTTTTGACAGATACTAATGCCATGGTTTGAGCCATTAACAGATACACAAATAGTGAATTTATCCAAGCTTAGACACACATGTCGACAAGCCGAAGATGCATTAACTCAAGGAATTGATAAACTTGAACAAACGTTGGCTCAAAGCGTCGCTATTAACATAACGGAAAGTGCAAATTGCAACACATGGATGATTTCGGCAATGGAGGAGCTCCAAGCACTTGAAAACTTCTTAAACCAGGTAAATACTAATTGCTAGAGATTTTGTTGATTTTTAGAAATTTCAGATGTCGTAAATGTTAAAATTTACAGGCGGATCATCTTCGATATCGAACGCTACAACAAATGTCACGGGTCTTGACAAATCGTCAAGCAGCAAAAGGGTTGCTGGCATTGGGCGAGTATTTCCAACGTCTTCGTGTACTAAATTCACTTTGGTCTGCTAGACCTCATGGATTAGATTTCGTTGTTGGTCAAAAAATGTAAATGTAGTTTATAGCAATATATATATACAATACTTATTTTAACGGTATGTGTTGCACTCTAACGTGTTGAGGTTTTAAAGATGCGAAAAATATGTTCCTCCCCTAAAGGGTTGAGGTTCAAGTCTATAGTCATCGGTGTAACTTAGAATTAAAATAGGACCCGTTCAAAAAGTAATGTTCAACGGAAGGTCGTTTACTTAATAAATGAACATACACAAACAAGAGTTTGTGTTTGTGTAGCTAACCTAACGAACACGGACAATAGTCCCATTTGTTCATTAACATTTATGTATGTTTGGTATAGACACAGTGAGAGTGTTATTGGAGCTTCTAAGAACGATTAAAGTTTTCGTACTTCTAGATTTCATAAAAATATAAAAAATGACACTCCTAAGTATGATCAACATATCATAAGTTTTGACGATCAACTTTTACGGTTCTTGATTTGGATGTTTATGCTCATTTATATTTGTCCATTTATGCTCCTTATTACATAAGATCATTCAACACCTTAAGGAACATAAACGAATGAATAAATGTAATTTGCTAAACGAATGAACATGAACAAAAAGATTAATTTGTCGTTTATTTATTCGTGCTCGATCGTTTGCTCAGTTAAATTAAACGGACGAACATAAACAAACACTTTGCTTTTATTCATTCGGTTCATTTACAAACCTAATTATATCGTGGTTGGTATATATTAATAATAAAAGATAATATTACAATGAAATGAGAAAATTAATGATATAAAACAAACCGTCGATTCTAAAAATGTGATTTCCGTTATGTGTGGATGGGTCGAAAACCTTGAAGTTTATTGCTAAAACTTTTTCTAATAGTCCTTGAGACGACCCACGTCGTTTTGTATGAAGAGTATGATATAAGATGTTAATTAGTACACAATGGAGGTGAGATAATTATATAAGAGCTTCGAGTTCACGGAGAATCAAATCGACATTGGAAATTTGCTGGTATTCATACCTTAGCATGTTACGTCCCGAATTTCAAAGGCAAATTTCATTTTTATTTATTTAAAATATAAGTCTTACAAAACATTACAATTCATTATTATATAAAAGAGTAGCTTAACAGAAGTCTATAAAACTTCATTGATGCTTCGATGCTAATACAATCATGTGTGAGCCTTTCCACGGTATGATGAACAATCCGCAAATCAGTTATTCAATAACTGTAAGCTGAGGCTTAGTGAATGCCCTCAAAATATTCCACACCACAACATATATATAATTCATACACATAATGTCCTTCAATATATAGTTGGTCCGCCCCTCGACCTTCAGCATATAGTTGGTCCGCTCATTTTGCAGTCAACATATAGCTGGTCCGCATCTTGGCCTTTAACATGAAGCTAGTCCGCCCGATTCTATTAGCCTTCAGCACGGGGCTAGTCCGCCCTCAACTCCATATATAATGACATACACATATATTAACAATCCATATAACATGCAACTAACTATCCTAGTCTAATTGCCGAAGTGCATACTATAGGGTAACTATATCCTAACATACAAAGGATACATACTGGAGTATACGATATAGTGAGATGAACTCACATGGACAATTTCTCAAGGGATAAATAGTTAATGGTTACTTTGACTGATGGCCAACACTCCAACGAAGATCTACCTATATTACTATAGTTTATTAGCTCCTATGGGAATTTATAATGTAGACTTGACCTACCACTAATCCCAATGAGTATCGACAGTTCTATCAAATAAGGGTCGACCAAGCCGGATAGTTGGGAGGCAGGATCATTTCAGCGTATAGATTTTCTAAAATCCAACAACCAAGCCAACATGACCATTCTAGGCACCTCTCCAGTAAGTAGATCAATCAGTATTTTAACTTTGAATTACTGATAAATCTTATTTATAGGTTCATAATAACGACTTATGACTATAAATATAAGTTAAACAGAAATTAAGAGAGTGTAGCTCAACTTACACAACTTTTAGCAAAAACCAGGAAATACGCGGACAAAATCCCGACTCGAACACTTCTATTTTCCGAGCACTCTGGGACCTTAGAACCTTATTAAAATATCCTAAAATTTGGGAGAAATTCGAACTCGAAAGAACTGAAGGATATAGAGAATTTGAGGTGAGAATGCATGAATTTCGGAGGAGAATTTATGGGGGAGAGGGTGGTACGCCGTGCAAGGCCAAGGGGCGCGCCGTGCATTTGGCCCTTTCTGGCTCTTATCTCCTTTTTACATATGTCGCGCTTTGGTTCCACCACACCTCTTTCTTCTAGAAGGTAACATGTGTAACGTCCGCAGATTCAGGCTAGTCAATTAAGACATATTTAGCGTTAAAAATGATTTTTTCATAAAAGATTATTTAGGATAAATAATCTTAACCAAAGTTCTTTGTATGTTACAATGGTTCCATACATATAAAGAATGCTAAAATCCAACTTCGTATGAAGAAGTTATGCGTCTTCGTAGTTTCGCGATTAAACCGGCACGACACTACATATCATAAAAAGTGAATTTTCGATAGTTTACTTTTAAGCCTAAGTGATCTAAACGGAAGTTTTAGTAGTTGTTAAACTGAGAGCGACATATAGAGAACGTCCAAATCTAACTTCGTAAGAGGAAGTTATGATTTTTTGAAGTTTCAACGCAGCAGTATACAACTCAGAAACCGAAGTAGAGATCGGTTGATTGTTAGGAAAAACAATCTAAACGAGAGTTGAAGATCTCTTCCGTATTGTTCCGTTGATATAAAGACAGTCAAGAACGGATATGAATTTTTAACGGACTTTAACAGTCGAAGTCTGTTAAAAATATAGCTTTAAAAATAAATTTAAAATTAGTCGACGTAGTCTATATGAAAGTTGTAGATCTCATTGAGAGATTTATGGGGATATAAAGAACATCGAATACGGAGCTCATATGGAGAAGTTACAACATTTTGAAAACCAGGAAATTCGAGCACGCAAAGTGCGTCGCACGCACTGATGATGTGGCACCACTAGAGGGCGCCATGTGGCATGGTTAGGAGCCACTTCCTCCGAGAGACCTATCGATGTCGCCCCATAATAATGTGACACATGGCTTCATAAGAGTGTGACACGTGTCACCTTCTAGAAGGGGGCGAGGTCGGCATACAGGTCGTAGTGCCCAGTGCGCATACCCAGAGTGCGCGACACACAAGGTTTTTCTTGCCTATAAAAATTCATCTTCATATATGCTTTCACCTCCACACCCCTACGCCCTTGAGTAATCATCTGAGTAAGAGCCTTCAGGTAGGAGATCCCGAGTTAGTATATTGCCCGCTTTGATTTCGGTTTTCATCAAGAACCTCTGTAAGTTAAGCTACACTTAGCTCATGTTAAGTGTAACTTCTAATTATAGTCATAGTCATTATTATGAATCTATAATTAAGGTTTATCAATAATTCCAAATCGTTATATTGATTGATTTACTTATAGGAGTGATGTCTAGGATGGATTTAGTAAGGTGTTTAAAGTGATATTTCCAAACAATATACTCTATATACCAAACAAACTCTACCTCTGATATGATTCTGCTTGGTTATTCTTTATTTAGATCTTGAAGTCGACTTTGGGATTGTTGAGGAATCTAAACCCTTAGGATAATAGTTCCATGAAATATGAAATTAGACTAAGACTTAGCGTTATGTACACCTAGGTCTTTTTGGAAAAAATTATGTAAGGCGAAGCTCTGCCAAGTTCACCAATCACCAGACACCTTGTCAAGTCAGTGCATAGTCCCTTTCATGAATATTATTTATTACAAGTATAATTAAAGTAGTAAATATCCACCGGAAGTCGTACATGAATTATATGCTTATTGCATGGATTATATGCTAATATATGTATATATTGTGTTATGTTGAAACCTGATATGGTTCTATTTTATGTTAGGATAAACAAAAACTACATCCGTCCCATATATATTGTTCACTTTTGACTTTTGAAGTCTTTATTTTGAACTTTGACCTTAAAATATTTTTTGTTTTTGATATATAATAATTGATACAAAATATATGGATGAACTGTGTTTTAAATGTCTTTTCATTTTAATAAGTTTCATCAAGTAATACATTAAACAAATAAAAATATTTAAGGTCAAAGTTAATGAATAAAGACTTCAAAAATCAAAAGTGGACAATGATTATAGGACGGAGGGAGTAATATTATATAATAATATTCAAGGAAAAAGGTGTTGAGAAGATAAATGACTAATAATACCTGTTAACGTATGGTCCATTAGCATGACCTAGACGTCAACACTTGGCGCGCCAGCCTTGGCTGGCGCTCTCCTAACGCTCGCCTGCCAGCCTTGTCTAGTGCCCGTGCCTAGCGCTCACCCATCGCCTGCTCCTGGTCCTCGCCTGGTGACCCTATGAGGCCTTACCCAACTGCATGCTAGCTGGGCCTGAGTTGGGTTGGCCCAATGCCTAACCTAACTCTCTTAACCTAATTATCCCATATAAATAGAACATAATCTCCTCCACAGAGGGAGAGCTTCCCTTGGACCTTTCCTGGGACCTAAACCATAGAGCCTCCATGTCCAAACACACACCAAACACACCAAGATGGTTTTCTCTGGCCAGGAAGAACCATCTCATCTCTACCAACCGATCTAATTTGATCGTCGGAGCTTGCTCTTAGGGCACAATCCATGAGGCAACTCTAATGACTTTGTTGTGACTGTAGCTTAGGTATCTCAACGGAAACTCGCTAACGGCACCACCTTTAAATCGGGATCCAACACAAAGATCCGATAAGCTAAGCACATGTCGCAACATTTGGCCTAATCTATGGGACAATTACAACAATAAACATTATAACATTCATGTTCCATCTTGATGTTTTAAATACACAGTTTTACAAATAATAATAATACATGAATTGCCTTAACAGATAGGCATATAATACTAAAACAGATAGACATATAATAATAGTTAATATAGAGTTTGCAATGAGTCTTTATAAGCCAAAATGTATTTTGGTATAAGTAAATCTGTACTTAAAACTGTGTTTGTAATGAGTCTTTAAAAACCAAAATATATCTTTGTATAAGTAAATTCATACTTAAAACCGTGTTTGTAAAGAATCTTTGAATATCATTGAAAACCAAACTGTACTGTTACATAAGTAATTCCATACTTAAAATAATTTTGAAAGCAACCAAGCCCATGGTTGTAGTGAGAGAGAGAGAGAGAGAGAGAGAGAGATTCTAGTTAATGTTTATAGTGAGTCC